CGGCGGCCTCCGAGCTCGGGCGGGCGGGGAGGGGCTCCGAGCGGCGGGGCGGAGCCCGGAGCGGGGGCGGGGCGGTTACGTGCTCGCCGAGGCCGCCTGCGCCATTTTGGGTGAGGGCGCGCGCCAGGCCTGGGCAGCCCCGCCCGGGCAGACGCTTCCCCGAGGGACCTCGGGGATCCAGAGGCGAGGGCCTTGGTGGACAGGGACCCTCATCCCCAGTGCTAGCTTCGAAATGCGGAGGTCCCCTGGGCCGCCCCCCACCCAGGACCGGGGCCCCCGCCAGCCCTGCCGGGTCCGCCCGCGCGGTCGCCGCCCTGCCCACCCGGGACTGCTCCCAGCGAGGGTGGCCGAGCCAGGGCCGCAGGCCAGAGCGGAACCCCTGAAATGGCTGGGGTGCCCCGTTTCTTCAAGGAGCACCTGCACTCGCTCTCCTCTGGCGGACAGCGGGCAGGCCCAGGCAGAGCCTCTCCCATGCCTAGTGGCGTCAGTTCTGCGGGGACCCTGTCCCAGGGATTCGGCCACAGCCTTGACCCCAGGCCTCTGGGCCTGACCCCCACCCCGGGCCGGCTTCCTCTTGGCATTGTGGACACATAAAGATGCGGGGAGAGAAGGCTTCAGGGTCCCAGTGACCTGGCCTGGAAACAATTGTTCATGCAAGTACTCACTGTTTTTTTCTTTTCTTTTTCTTTGATTTCATGCTCACCAAAGCAACCTTCCACTAATGGACCTTGGTGCTGAGGANATTTTTTCTTTGATTTCATGCTCACCAAAGCAACCTTCCACTAATGGACCTTGGTGCTGAGGAGTCCCAGGATAGTAAAATAAATATATTCTTGTTGAGGATATTGACATTAATGAGGTAGAAATAAAACACATGTATTTTGCAGGACCAAAGCCTGTAGTTGAGGAGGCCAGAACCTCTAGCTTAGGTGGCAAAGCCCAACCCTTCAGAAAAACACACAGAAATGCTGAGATCAAGAAAGACCAGAAAACTTTCACAGGACTAAAGCCTTTGATGTAGATAAGAGAACTGAAGCATAGAGAAAATTAACTGCTCTGGGGGCAGTTTCCCTTGGTGCAGCTAAACCTAAATGCTGGGAAAGTATGTGAGCAAAAATCTTCAAGGATATTCTGCTAGTTAGCACTTGGGGGACTTTCCACATCTTGCCCTGAGCTGTTTCTTTGAGTTTCCTGGAGAGTTAGGTGCTTTGGTGATTATCTCATTGTTTCTTTTTGTACATCATGTAGTTTAGTTTTACGACTCCTTTTGATGGTTAATTGTTTGAACTATTTTAGGTTACACCTGCTTTAATGAAGATTGTCACATAGCCAGTTTATGTTTTCACTATGATTGATTAACCACCTGTTTCTCTTCTGTAACTTTTTTGTCATTACAATAAAAACTGAAGCCAAAACTGACTCAGGGCTGTGCCTGGGCTCTCCTTTCTTGAAGGAGTTTTCCCTGGGTGCAGTCCCTTCAGGCTACTCATTGCTCTGAATACCTGGGCCCTGAGTAATCATTTGCTTCTCCATCACTCTGTGAGAGGTAACACATTCTGGGAACTGACAAGGTCTAAATGCTTTTTCCCAAATATTTACAATGTAGAAATAAGAGAAAGTAGGGTGCAAGAGTATATACCATACTGATGGTGGTGGTAGGGTCTGGGGTGCCCAATAGTTGGCCTGAACCCACCATGTCCTCTTACCAGGTACTTGACTCTGCCACAGGAAAGAATTCAAGGGCAGAGTCACAGGAGAAAGTGAGAACAGGTTTAATAAAATAGGTAAGAAATACAGGTTCCACAGAGTGCAGCATAGCTCCAGAATCTGAGCAGGGCCCATGCCAAGTTTAACACAAAAGTAAGTTCAGTACAGACATCAAGTCTAACGTAAAAGCAAGAAAAACATACTTAAAGTTCAGTAGAGAGCACAGACTGGCTCAAGACAATGAGCAGCTTTTTGCTGAAAGTTTGATACAAAGTAGAGTATACACAAGGCCCTCCCGTGGCTCACTCGGGAGAGTGCGGTGCTGATAACACCAAGGCCACGGGTTCGGATCCTATATAGGGATGGCCGGTTTGCTCACTGGCTGAGCGTGGTGCTGACAACACCAAGCCAAGGGTTGAGATCCCCTTACCGGTCATCTTAAAAAAAAAAAAAAACAAAGTAGGGTATACACACCTCAGCCAGCAGAAGTTCAGGTTACCTCCAGGAGAGAGAGCGACAATCCTGCCTTCTGCTGTGATTCGTCATTTATAGTTTCTCTATCACTTATGGGGGTGGTTCCCAAGTTGTGTAGCATTAGTCTTGCATATGCTCAGTTGGTCTCTTCTTGGAGCATGTTCATTGGTCAAATCCAGTCATATTCAAGAATATTCTGTGCTCTCTACCATCTTTAGTGGAAGATCATTCAACCACAAGGGTTATATAACCCTTCTCTACTGAGCATGCCCAGCCACTGGATTTGCATAAGCCAGCCCCTTGAGCTCTCATTTTCCCTTTGGTACTGAAAATAGGTCTAACTAGCAACAGTAACTTTCCTCTAGGGGAGGATCCAGAGGAGGGGCCTGAGACCTTGCAGAGTGGCTGGAAACCCAGAGATGTGTCCCAAAACCTGAGCCCAGGGCAACTGAGCACCTCTTATATCAGTATGATCCTAATATTGTGAAAATTGTATCCACACAGGTACATATTTGTAGGGTCTTCAAAGATCTGAGGACAGTGGGGCTAGGTGGTCAGCTCAGTAGTTTAGAGTGTGATGCTGATAACACAAGGTCCAGGGTTCAATCCTGGTCCGGCTAGCTGCCAAAAAAAAAAAAAGAATCCTTCCATGAACTGTTTTTTGTTTTGGTGGCTGGCTGGTATAGGGATTGAACCCTGGACCTTGGTGTTTATCAGCACCACAACTCTAAACAACTGAGCTAACTGGCCACCCCCAGTTGTCTTTTCAATCCATTTTTCTGTTAACGTTTTGAAAGACCCACATAAAGATACAGTCAACACTCCTTATCCTTGGGTTCCGTGGGATAAAAAATGTTCGGAGAAAGGAAAAAAAATGAAAAATAACAATACAACAATAAAAAAATACAAATAAAAATACAGTATAATAATTATTTACATAGCATTTACATTGTATTAGGTATTATAAGTAATGTAGAAATGATTTAAAGTTACAGGGGAGGAGGAGCATAGATTATATGCAAATACTACTAGTTTTATATAAGGGACTTGAGCATGGAGGATTTTGGTGTCTGCCAGGAGTACTGGAGCAAATCTCCCCCTTCCTCACGGATACTGAGGGAGGACTGGGTAAATACAGGTGAGGTGTTATTTTTGGTGTTATAGATTATTTCCATTTTGTTCTTCATATTTTTCTGCTTTTTCCAAGTTTTCTATAATGAAAATATGTTATTTTTATAATCAGAATCAAACCAATCAGGGCTTTTAAAGAACAGAAAGCAGTCCCATTGACTGTTCAGTGCAATGTCCCCAGCCGTGAAGCAGTTTGGTACAGGTTGCTGGGAGCCAAGCCACCAAATGCCTGCAGCAATGAAAACCTCGACAAATTGATATGTCTTTGGATGACATCATCAAACTGAATTGAAAGGAAGGAAAGAAGAAGAATTTTCCAAGGCTAAACAGAAGACTCCAGCAAAGTGGTACCTGGCAGTTCAGGCTGAGTAATGTGGGGAATCCAACAGAATTCTGGTTTTGGTAAGAGCAGTGCCTGGAAAGAGATGTCCTTATGGGGTTATCACTAGCCGTGCAGCTAGGAAAGCACCTCAAATTTGAAAAGGAATTAGTCCTATGAATCGTCCACCTCTAAGTGACAAGAATATAGAACGATATTTTCCAGTGTTAGAAAAACAAAGGCTAACTGGTTAGCTTGGTTAGAGTGTGATGCTGACAACACCAAGGTCCAGCGTTCGGATCTCCATAGTGCCAGCTGCCAAAAAAAAAAAAAAAAGGGGGGGGGGGGGGGGGCAAATCTTCTGAGAC